TCCTGCTGTTCTTCCAGTGTAAAAAGGAAATAATGCAACCTATCCTGGCCATAAAATATTTATGCAATAGTGTATTAGCTTTTTTCTGTTAGCATCATCAAACATATAGTGATAAGTCAGCCCTGACACAGTACTTGTGGAATAATGTGAGAATCAAGAGAAACAAGAATATTCATTTATTGATCAATTTTACCATGAAAATTGTCATAAAAGTTGTTCAGATTGAGAATGTCTTTGAATGGAGTTTTGTATTTTTTGCCTTTTAGATCCACATTTCAAACATACCAGATTCAAAAAGATTGGGGTCTTTAGGAAACAGAAATTGTTTTCCCCATACATGATAAGCAAGATATTGAAGCAAACCTAAGCCTGTTTAATATAGAAAACAATTAAACAAATTGCACTCAATAATTATGTGATATCCTTGATCTCTTTTTTGCAGTTAAATTTTCCTCGATTATAGCCATGCTGTGCTATAAATACATTAAATTTATTAGAGGTGTCTCTATCAATTGGCAATTCCTGTGCCAGTGTTTTTAGAGATCTCTATCTTTATGATGGCAGTCCCATGAAATCTTTCTTCCCTTCACACCAGCTTTCCTTCCTCACTGGTGTGGGTGCAGCACTGAGCCCATCTGGAGACATCCCAGTTCTGGCGCCCTCCCCATAGGGAAAGGTAGAGCACAGACACGGTCAGGACCAGAAGACCCCCACAAAACTCGTGTCCGGACCTTGCACGTGTTTCCCAGCAAGACCAATCACATCCCCAAAGATATGCACCCTGGAGACTTTGCCTTTGGTGGCAAGTGGTGTAAGAAAGATAGGGGCTGATGGATAATGTCGAACGCCTCTGCTTTATACTAGAAATAGTCAGCAAACATCATTAGGAATGATCTCAGGAAATAAAGTCTGCACAGCTCAAACAGGCAGTAGCTAACAAGGTACTAACGTGCAACAACTCGTAGAGATAAAGCTGGGCTTTGGTAGCTGTATGCTCATAATAATAGGACATTCTTGCACTGAACAAACATTTTCCTATAGCAGTTTATGCTGGCAGTGCTAGGGTGGAGTAAAAGTTGTACAACTCATACTTGTGAAAAACGAATGCTGAGAACCTTCCCTGATTCTCTTTTAAACATACCAGGTGGTTATCGAAAGCACACAATTACTTTTCATAACGTTTTTTGGAGAATTTATAGATAGCCCAAAAATATATTCACTTCTCAAATAATTATATGCCTGGTTTAAGCAGTGCCGTTCAGCTAAAAATGTCTTATATCCAACGTGAAATGGTAGCCACAGAAGCAAATTATGAAAATCCTGATTTCCTTGCTAGTGCAAAATGAGTGTACAAGGAGGTGGTGTTACGGTCTCTTGCTAGCCTGTGTTTATATTGTAATCATGTTATGGAGATTTCTGACTAATCGCTAATCTTCACTTATGTTTGTGCCATATGGCTCCTTGGTGAGCATCAGAGGATAAGGACTCGCTGTTTATTAGACTCTTATTTACATTAATATGGGTGAAAAAAAAAGAACGATTAATGCATTTCATGCAAAGTGGAAAGCTGAGCAAGGTATGTATGCCTTCCTGGGAGAATTACTGTGTTTCCTTTGTAAAGATTTACTTCCAGGGACGTCTGAAGAGAGGCTAAATTCCTCTGTCAAGTCATTGGCTAACAGCCGCTTCTGTCTAAGAGAGGTTTTAATTAACAGCCAGGAAAAAGAAAACAATCTTCAGTGGCTCACTTGCTGTGCTAAGATGAGGGAGCTGCTCACAGGGGACGGAGGTGTTGCTGCGCAGGCTGCACGCTCTGGCTCCATGTGGGACAGCAGGGCAAGCACCCTGCTCCTCCACCCTGGCACCTGCTTCTGCTCCATCAGAGGTTATTATGTCTGCATGGGCTCGAGCCCTTCAGAAACCTTTTTCCTCTATCCAATGATTAGTTCATGAAAAATAACCTTTGCGCTTTCTTGGCTTTAACTCTTATTCCACCCGGCAAAGTTTCTAGTCAAGGCTGGAGCTCCCAGGTGTGCTCTAAAGACAAACAGAATCAGATGGGCCAAAGCATGCTCATACCCAGGATATAGTTCAGAGGTGTATCGTCAAATACTTGTTTAATCTTCCATGAGATATAGGGCTATGTTCAAAGCGTTCCATTACGATAAAGCCATGCTTAAAGACATGTGTTTACTGTGCTAATTCAGAGCCGTATGCTACTGCAAAAGGCATAAACGAGCCTCAGAGCTGGAAGTTGCGGCTGGACAAGTTCAACCTAGAATGAAGTCAAGATGGGCTTTGTTTCTCAAGACGGGCTTTGTTTCTGGTGTGTACTAAGGTGCTCCAGCAGAAAGCAGCTGTCTGACACGGACATTGTTGGATGACAGCTATGGCTGGTGTTACGCAGAGTGTTAGAACAGACCTTCCTGGCCTACAACGAATTACGGAACCTGGAACAGTGTTGCTGAAGGCAATAGGGCTGCAGTGACCCATGCTTTTATGGACAATTCAGCAAAAGTACAGAACTGTAAGTTTGGGAGGAAAGGACTGAAGAACTGGAGCTGCAAAGGACAAGTCTCCCCAGTTCCTTTCCTGACACAGT